TGGATAAATTAAGTCCTGCAGCATGCGACATCGTTTGAAATGACTCTTCCGCCACTTTTGCCGCTGTTCGGACCATTATCTTCGGAGTCAGGGCTTTCGTCCCTGAATTGGGAACAAGTACTGAGTAGCTATTCCTTGAATGTCCCCATAGGCTCACTCCCAGCCGAAACTTTCCGGTTTGCGATCTGCGATTTCGTAGCTTTAGAACAGCTTTTCCTCACTGGGGCGAAGGTGGTGTAATGCCAGGTGGCACCTGGTTCCGAGAATCAGATCCTGAACCGAATCTTTCCCAGGTATCAGGCTCTCTACACCGGAGGGGCCATGGGAAACTGATTCATCTGGGAGAAAGGAACCACCCACTTGTGCATCGGATGGCCCTACAAAAATCCTCGTAGTATAGGCATGGTTGCGCATCCTGATAGGAGTTCCTATTTCTTTCACAGTTTTTTTTTCTTGGCGGAGATGAGTGGCAATTGGCCCACTTATCACGCTTGCGGTGTTGGGGTGAAAAAACAGACCAGCTCTCGCCCAAACTCACCAAGCCTTCCATTCCTTGGGGATAACGAATTGGTGCCAGATTCTTCTAGGAGGATAAGAAGACGGACTGGCTCATCGGCTGGCTCCCGCAAGTCATTGTATAGGCCACATCGCATTCAATGAGCCACTACGGTTCTGACTGGAGTAGAATGCGTGCCACATCCTAAAAAGGGATAACTCCACGGCGAACGCTCTGTCCTTTATCCTTCTCGGTGTGGAGACAGATAGCCGCCATTGAAAACGCTGTCTGGAGATCCTAGCCTGGATCGAACCCCTCCCAAACCGTCAGAAATTTCCTTACTTTCTGGATCGGTCAGTGGATATCAGACTTTTCTTATAAGGTAAGAGCCCCAAAATGTAAAATTAGATGTACTACTCACTTAATTTTGTGAGCGATAGTGCGTTCAAAACGCCACTACGTTCCTGAAAGAAAGTCGGCCTCATGGCGCATTCCCGAAGCGGGGCTGATCAGTACGTAAAACGTGGTCTTTTTGTGTCTCTCAACCGAATGATTTTCACATTAAGAGTCGAGTGAAAGGTGATTGATGCAGTGAATGTTTCAGCTGAATGTGAACCACCATGCAAAAAAGGTCGTTGTGTCGCTCCAAACGTTTGCGAATGTGATTCGGGCTATGGAGGGAAACACTGCACTTCAAGTTTGTTGATTTCGATTTCTGTAGCACACCGTTCTCACATGAGACTGCCCCATATGCTTTTTTTCTTTTTATTTTTAATTTGATTCAGCTTTAATTCAACTTTATTTCAATATTTTTCAGCTTTAATCAACTTTGTTTCAATATTTGCGCGTTTGATACAAGAACTGGTTTTCAAAGTTTGATAACTGTGGTTAACGCCGCAGTGCGCCCTTAATGGATGGCGAGACCGCCCGGTAAGCGGGAGGTGAGGGTTCGAGTCCCGTGTGGGGTCTGACTTTTGCCCTTTTGGCTTCATGAGTGGTTTTTAGTGTTTCTGATAACGTTTCACTCAATTGGGCACAACTCTAGCCCAGTTCGGCTTGGTGGGGGCATCGAATTGAACTCAACTAGGCTTCCCCAGGCTATTCTGTGGAGGCTTTTGAAATCCAGTGACCAGAGTGAATCACTCGCATCATATCGCAGCTTCACAGGAATTTACAGGTCTCACCAAAGTAGGTACCTATTATTTCATGAAATAGTTTTATGATAATAGTAGGCACTGAACCAGCAAAAGTGTCCCTGCGAGCGATTGTTTTAGATCCGTCCAACACTCGGTTCCATAGAAAACATACATTTCATGATCATCGGCGAAATGATTTCCGATCCCCGTAGAAGTAATTGCACCTGACACCTAATTACAAGGTCATTAAGTGGTAGTAATGGTCAGATGATTGAGTGATAAGTAATTAGTAAGCAGTAATAGTAAAAGCAGCCCATTAGTGACACCATTGTTGAAAACAATGTCGCCTTACGATCCTTCACTTACACATAGGAGGGCATGGCAATCCCCAAAGCTTAATCTAGCACTACTTTTTATCCCTCACTAGTAGAGGTGATACTAGAGTACATAATAAATATCAATAATAAATAGCAAACTATAGTAATTGGTCATAAATTAGATAATAATGAACACATTTTGTTTTTACCAGATACGCTTACATTTTGGATTTTCTCATTCATTTTTAAGTTTTTATTTAATTTTTGTCGGGCCTTCTACAGGTTTTGATAGATCTCAGTCAGATTTGCCTCGATTATGTTTACATGTCCGTCTGAGTAAATATTGACTTTATGTTTCTGTATTTAGCCTGCTCGGTCGGATTATGGGGGCCATCATGTCAGAGGAAATGCGAGTGCGACAACGGAGCGAATTGTGACCCGGAAACGGGCGCTTGCATCTGTGGTCCAGGTTGGTACTGTATTTTGGAGTGGAGTTGACCTATAGTGACCGGGAACTAGTTCGTTACCGCTGGTGGACAGCTGGTTGCCCAAATGGGAAAATGATCCAGGATGGGGCCACGGTCCCAAGTGGCCAACTGGCAGCCTACCATCGCTAGTGAACATGATCCTGTATAGGTTACAAATCCGGAATTATTTGCAAATTTCAGGTTTCATGGGTATCAAATGCGAACAAGAATGCCCACCTGATCGCTATGGTCCCAACTGCACAGAGAAGTGTCTTTGTCAGAATGGTGGCCGGTGAGCTTTCCCAGGCTATTTTAATTACTGTATTTTTACTCGTCATTTATTATTTTCTTTTCTTTTCGAAGTTCGGTCGTTCTTTCTGATCGATTTTGCGATTACTTTACTTTTTAAATTATTTTTCTTACGTTAAAGTGTGAGCGGTGTTGGTATAACGGTGAATACCGCGCGCGCAGTCCATGTGTCGAATCTCGGCTCCTGCTGGACCAACCAAGCCTTCTCCCCAGTAAGATGGTACCAGATTCGTCTGGGAGGATGAATACACCAACTTGATCATCGGAGGACTCCGCAAGCACTTGTGTACGCCGTCGAGCCTTTACGATGCTGAATAGAAGTGGAATGCATGCAGAAAAAGACTAATCAATGTCAGTTCAATTGTTGTAGTACAAACTATCTCCATCGAGCATAGTCTCAAAGGGTTGAACAATGCCATTGTCTGTGACTCTCCCGTGGACGGAGAGGCAGGGTTAGTTATCGCTACGGTGATTTTCCAGTAATTCGTTCTTCCGTTCCCCCTAGATATCGCTGGAGAGCACCAAGGTGGGGCGCATAAATGCAAAGTTCTCGCAATGTATGGCCTCCCATTTCTTCCTGTGAGCCCCTTTCACAACCTGCACCATCTTAATCTTATCAACAGCCTGCCAAGGAATAGAGGGCGAGGGGAGGAAGCTGTCGTTTGTCAGCTAGTCATCCTACTACAAGCCATGTCATGTGATCTGACCTGAAGTGTCCTCATTTCTCAACATCGTTTCTTACTTGTATTCTCCCTCTGACGATCAAGGCAGGAGGTAAGTGCAGCCTTCAGTTAACGCTTGCTATAATCAGCCCATACACAGTGTCAGTTCTTGGATGTGCATTCGGTGGCCGGATAAATGAGGGGGGGGGGGGGGGAGAGGAAGGCAGTTTGCACTTCCCTCTTCTATTGTCGCGCCTTTTGCTTTGCTGAAGTCGGCGAAACGGTTCCCGTGTGAGAGTTGCTCAACGGACCTTCCTAAATTTTAGCTGGTGGCACTGTATGGCTCGCAGATTTCACGAATCTCTTACTTGATGGCTCGAGGCGACAGCATGAAGCAGTAAAAGTGCAAAAGCCCCACCCTGCGCGAACTTGTTCTGTGACCTCTTGGGCTCGTTGCGTCAATGGGCTGGGATGCAACAGGGCATTACACACTGAAGTCCCTCGTCAATCGCTTTTTACTCGTCTCCTGTCGCTGTTCATTTCTTGATGTCTGCATCAGTCTCGGGTAATAGCCTCTTTACGCCTCTACGATGCTTGTAAATATACGGGCTTGTTTTCTTGGACACTGTTTCGCTCTTTCTCCTCAAGCTTTTCACCCCCTCCAGGCACGTCGCACCTTGGGGAATCCCAGGGGAGGGATCCTATGCGGAGGGAAGAAGGGTCGAATGCGCCTTGGAGAAAAATGCTTTTTACAGAGGAAGATTTTTTAGGGGAGGGAGCGTCGAATTTTGCTAGAGTCTCCACTGTCCCGACTCCACCTCGTCCTGACTTGATTGTGACTGCACCACGATTAGGGAGATCAGTTTCTGGAGCGGAGCTTTTTTGACGCTAAGAAGCACTTTTCGGCGCAGTATGGGCTGGACGATATTACCGTGCAGTCCTCATAAGACCTGCCTCCTTTCCAATAAGATAAGGACGAACACGTCGACGAGGGAGCCAATGTACGCCAGTTCCCGCCGTTGCAATGCAGCGTTAGAACACGGCTTTCAATTAAATTCCGGCACAGAGCTTACCATATAATCCTCCCGTTTTGATTCTTCTTCCTAATATTTATTGTTCGGAACGCTGTCTTACACAGCATGCTTAATAAATAAGTAAATAATAACTGAGTAAATAAAGTGTATTGATTTAGGTGCGACCGTAACGGGAAATGCGAATGTCTGGATGGATTCGCCGGCGAGTTTTGCCTTCGAAAATGCGATGAAGGCAAATTTGGTGCGAACTGTAAATTCGAATGCAACTGTAAAAACGGAGCCACCTGTGATGCTGTCAACGGACGATGTATTTGTGCATCTGGATTCAGTGTGAGGAGGGACTTTTTTTACCAAAATGACGTTTTTGAATACTACGGAAGTGTTTATGCCTTCAATCGATCTTCGATTAGATTTATTTGAATTTGTCGCCAAAAATTTTGAAATGTCTCCCTGCAGTTGGTACAAGCGCTGCGTTTGGAGTAAACCTTAGCTCCTGTGTACAGGATAACTAATGAGTGGGTAAATTGCATTGATACAGAGCGGAGGGAGGGAGTTACTGCGTCAGTCACCTAAAACTGGTAAATATCTACGCATCGCCTCATCTAGCCATTCAACATAAAGCCGTGTCATTTGCGCGTTTGCACACACACTCGTGACTCTCTTGACTACCACATCAGTGACTTTGGCCTCTTCCACTTGGCTCTAGGATCTCTTTAAAACCCATTTAGTTATGCTGGAGGGTGCGGGCGGAATTAGGCGGCCGCTCAGTGCTGAGGAAATGCAGCTCTAAGAAAACGGTCAGTCGGAGCGGTCCGCTTGTTTTGATGCCGAGTTTAGACAGTAGCACTGTAAGCTGGCCTACTCGCGCAGTCCGGCGTACCATCATTTCTTATACACTCCGCTCAAAGCGCTCGGTAACGGTTCGTGACCGATATATGCCCTCCCACGGCTGCGTTCCCGCCCACCGCACTGGGGCGTTAATGCAATGGTAGCGCGTCGACCCCATCGCAGAGTCTGAACGCTGCCTCAAAAAGACGCCTGCAGGAGATGAGCAATGGTGGGCTGTTCCCTCCCACACGATCAACGTGGACAATTTACTGGATGAGTCCTGAATTGATAAAGAATTTGAACGATTAAAGTTTTGGGAGAAAACATTTAATATCAACAAATTCCAGGGACCAACTTGCGAAGATCGATGCCCACTTGGTTTTTATGGTAAAAACTGCTCAAAGCTATGCGACTGCCTGAACAACAACAAATGCGATTCGGTGACGGGGAAATGCCTCTGCGTTGGATGGATGGGAGAGAAATGCGAGCGTGGTTGCCCCAAAGGCTATTACGGTCCAATGGTAAGCTCAGTTTATGTTGGGTTTTTTGACTATTTTACTATTTTACGTGCTTAAACCAGGTCATAGGTGTGGTTTTTTTTTGCTCCGGTAAAGGTGCCCTAAATTTCACGATAAGGTTCATCCATTAACCCTCTGCCTTTCTATCTGGTGGGCTTCTCCTTCCATTAAGGTGATGAATAAAGGAGGCTGACAAGGGCTGCATGCACATTGCTTGTGAGTCTTATTCATTATCGCGATTTATTCCCTACTCCTACTCACTGACTTCATTGGATTGTCATCAAAAATTGAGGTATTGAAAATGGCAACAAATGAGTGTTTCGTCCTTGCTTCATGTGGCCTGAATTTTCCCCTATATTCGTCCAGATCCCGGGCTTACCGGAATTTCAGGCCAAATTTCTCATTGAAGTCGCATGATTAAACGTTATTCACGTTCTAGTGCTCCAAGAAATGTGACCTTTGCAATGGTATATCCTGGAATGATTCGAATGCAGCTTGCGACCCCGTGACAGGTGCCTGCAAATGCGAACGAGGATACAAGGGCCCTGACTGTAAACAGAGAGGTGAATTTTTTTGAACTGCTTTTTGCCGCGTTTATGCTTTTCCACTGAATCGAGTCAGTTGGCGATACGAGCGTTCCATTGCAGCTCTTAAAGAAACCCTGTCCTTATGTGATTCAGTAAGCTATTAAAACGGCCCAATGATTTGTCGTGGAGCGCAGCAGCTCGCAGTAGTCTTAGATTGTGCCACCGAATCGCTCGCTCGCAAAGTATGAACGCGCCCTACTGCTGGTGATTTGGAACGTGTGGGTTTGCGTAACGCTAGCACTACCAAGCCCCATTACTTTCAACAACCATTTTTTGGACCAACAGGTTACCTAACACGCGCGGCGCAAAGCTGGACTCTCTTGTGAGCTACAGCGTCGCGCGCACGGCATGTCCGTTGATAGGTGGGAAGGGGGATAGGGAGGGGAGCTGGAATTCAATACGACGGTCCCCTCGAGGCTTCGTTCTCTGGTGCGACCTGCTGTGTGTCACAACGCACACCCCCTCTCTTCTCCATCCTGAATTACCATCATTCTAAACTCTACCGACTTCTTGCCATTTTTCCAGAGTTCTCCAGAAATTCTCCAGTTTTAAAAGCTGGCGTCGTCGAGTATGAATGGGCAAGCTGAGGTGCAGGGAGAGGGCTATATAATATACATGAAATGGGAAAACCGGGAAAAGTCACTAATTGGGAACATTTTTCCTCAAGTAGACCCCCTCCCCCACCCCCCATCCCCCGCATGCTTTAGCTGAGGACCCCAACATACGACGTGCCCTGCTTGCGCGGAAGTCGGCCATTACAAAGTTGGCGCGCAAATTGATCGCGTCAGGTCATGAACGGCGAGCGGCAAGTTTGCGTGACGAAAAAGGTCACAAATATAAAAGAACTTTTATAATAGCGGAATTACTGAGAATATTTCAGTATGTGATGAGGATATGTATGGGCAGGACTGCTCCAAGCAATGCACCTGTATAATGGAGAATACGGAATCGTAAGTGCATGCTATTTCCTGTTAGGACCTCGAAGGTCAACAATTTTTCTTACAGATGTGCTCCTGACACCGGCTTATTGTCGATGCAAACCTGGTTTCGCTGGGGATTCATGTGAACGTATTTGCTCTAAGCTGTTCTGGGGTGAGTTTAGGCCCTTTCACGTGTCTGCTTAGGCAACATTTATACACTGCGTCAGTAGAGGATCGTAGAGCACGAGAAATGGATCAGGTACAAATCGATTTTGTCGACACGATGGTCCAAAAGGAGAGTCGACGAAAAGAGCCACAGAGTCTATGGGAGAGAACAAACGTTACCGATTTTCCAAGGCAGTTCGGCGACTGGGGGAGGGGGCATTTCGCACTTTTGCCAC